CCAAGCAAGGTATTGAGCCATAAGATGATGATTGATCTTGTGACCTTCCTACTCTGTCTAGTGGAGGTATAAAAAAGCCTCAAAGCCTCTCTAATGTAATAATTGGTTTTATTTAAACTTCTATGTGTAGAATTTATTTAGAACGGATTATCTATAAGAGTAGTTTTCTAAGTGTTAAAATACTTGTTTGAGAACTGTTGTTATAAATAAAACTTAGCTCTTTAACAACTTCATTCAGTAGGTAGGTCTTTCTGTTGAAAAATGTGGATGTCCTCCATAAACCATAATTGCATATATGTAGCATAAATATTGTTTCTTTATTGGATTTGTTGCAGAAATAAAACCTCTTTGTGTATAAATGGACTTGGTTTTGAACTGTGAAAATTTAATCGTGATAGTTTATTGGTTCAGCTCTGGAGAAGCTGAGGCAAAGCTATTTTGCTCCAGCCAGAGCTATTTATATACCATCACCGTGAGCTCCTTTTTATATTATTGGTGTTATGCCTACTAAAAAAAGGAGTGTTAAAGGAAAACTTCGCATTTCTTTTTATTCTGTGCCCTTATTCACCACAATGATATTTTTAGAGGTTATTTCATCTAGCTATCTCTCTTCAGGAAAGGCTTTATCTTTTTCACAGTAGAGACAGACAAGAACTCAGCTTGAAGCCATTTCTTCTCAAGCTTTCCTTTTTGAAGGGTGAAAGGATCAGAGAAAGTGGGACTTTGTGTGCGAATTGAGCCTCTTTGCCCTTAGGCCCTTCCTGAGCAGCACATCTGCTTCATTGAGGGGAGAGATGACCAGGAGTTTTAATGGAAAAGACAACTTTAAGGAAAGAGGTTAAAATTTAAGAGACTGTTTCTTTTGAGTTTTTCTATGCAAAAAGAAAGATCTGGCTTAGAAGTTTATCCTCACTTTGTTTTGCTTCCAGAGAAAACCATTATTCTGCTTAGCTTTCCTTTTATAAAAGTGCTTTGCTGAACAGGGCAGGCAGGTAATCATTTATTGTTGCAAACATCTGCTGAATTGGCCAAGTACAGAAGAAGAATGACAGCTGAATGGCTGCTTCAGAGGCTAGAATTTGTGAGCTGAAGCTTGGAGGACAAACTAAGTTCTAAGGGAGCACCAGATACAACCTCAGTGTCCTGTAACAGAGCAAAATTTGGAAACATGAGTAAATTTGCAGCTCTAAAAGTAGTACAGTTAAATATCCAAAAGTGTCAGATTTCAGGCCTGGATATGAAGCCTCAACCATTTGAGCAGTGTTTTTGCCTCAGAGGCAAGCCCTTGCGGATCCTTGGCACTGGCCAGCCATGGACAACAGTACATCATATTTAGTACTGTTTGCCTCAAATGTGGACATCAGTGTGTGTGAAAATGTACCTGCAGTGTCTTCCATCCATGTGTTCAGGTCATCAACGAGATGTTAGACTACACGTCAAGTTTCTGTTTTGATTTATTATCCGTTCTAGAAGATAATGAAATAATATCTGAAGTACCATTTTTATTTTATCCTAGAATATGAAACAGTATGTTTCAAAAGACATCATCACTTGAGACCCTTTCCTTTAATATTTAGCTGTTATGCACATCTTTGGATTATGGGGAGGGATAGTCTGGATGTCGGGTTTCATGACTGCAAATCAGCTTGCAAAAGGCCATATGAAAGATAATGCTTAATATAATTCAACTTATTTTCCATTAACATCTTGAACTATGGTGTAAGTTTTGTATTTTTATTCTAGAAATATAGCTGACATTAGCATTTAGGCATACAGTTCAGTTTATCTCTAGTGAAAGTCTTTTAAAATTGTTATATACAGCACAAAGGACATAGAAAATCAATAATATTTCATTTCTTTTAAGTAAGATCCTTCTATATACATTTGCTTGGGTTGCTTATAAATTTCTTCCTTTATAGAAGTATTTTGTAATAAATGTCAGTTATGGATTTAATCGTAGCAAAAAATAGTGCAGGTTCTGTAGTACCTTTAATATATCAGGTAAAAAACTGCTTAGCTAAGTATTAGTGTAGTAGAATAGTACAATTTCCTAAAAGATATTTTTTACATGTAGTGATATTAATAGGAGAGCATTTAGGACCTTAGTACATGGAATATTGTAGAATTCAATGCATTGTACCTTTAAAATATTTAAAGCTTCTTTGTTTATTGGTTTGCCGATCATAACCCTTTACACAGTGTAGAGATACTATAAATATTTTCTGTTGAATGTAAACTTGATTTGAAAATACTCTTCTTTTTTAATCTAATTACTCTCATACTAGTATGATTTGGTTACCTCAATGTTATCTTTGTAGTCTAAAGAATTGTAATATTAGTTATAGTTAAAATTGAATTTTGGCAGTATTATCAATTGATGGAACTGGCTAAAATTAATTTATTAGAGTATTAGAAATTGAACATTGGGCAAATTCAGTTTTTTAATAGTCATGTATGCATCAGTAAGTTTAAAAGCACACTCTAGGGGGTTACTAAGGAAACAGTTCCTATTTTTTTCAGAAATAGCTAATTCAATACAAACTAAGTACTCATTAACTTCCTCTTAATTTACAAATGTGACCACATTGGTGTTTAATGTGGTAACCTAGCCAGATAGAATGATATTTTAAATTGGTCTTTACCACTAAAATATATAAACTGGAGAAAACTTTGCTTCATTCATAAATGCTTAAGGATAAATGAAAGGCGGAGGTGGTTTTGGTGTTGGAAGGGACACACACAGTGGTCTGAAAAGGGTATTTCCCAGCTGTCAGATTTGTTTCTGCTTAAGAGAGATTGATGAATTTGAGAGTAAGGGAGAATTAGATGCAGATTAAGACTTCAGTGAATAATAATAGATGAATAAGATCAGCATTTAATAGCTAAATGAAAACATGTGACAGTGTTAAAAAAAATATACAGAGCACTTAAATTAGTGACCTAGGTACTTTATAGTAATTGAAAATATATAAGTGAAACCCAGGAATTCTACCTTTTGTTAAGACTCACATGGTACTGAAAAATTATGAATTGTTCCAATTGCTTTAAAAACTGTTGACATATTGTTTCCATTTAAATATTTTATATTTCACCTTCTGAAGGAGTTTGGAATATTGGTGTAAGATGGAACCAAGAAATCTTTATCTAAGAAGAGATGCCTATAACATTTTTTTCCCATTTCTGAAAATAATATTTGCCTCCTTAAATATTTCTCTATACTTTTCTTAATGGCAAAAGAGAAAGTCTTATCACATGTAATAGTAATAATTACTGATAGCTTCATTAAGTGTGGCAGTTGTATATGTTAACCTGTTTTAGAATTAATCTTTATAAAGTATCCTAAAATTTAAGAATGATTTTTGTCTTAATGTATTTTAGGTGAGAATATAAAATATACACTCTTGACAAGGGTAAAATGTTTGTGGTCATAAATAGACTAATAATTGGAAGGAATTTTCCTGTTCTTTTAATTTTTACCTAATAAAAGATGGAGTTAGTCATCCAGGTGCTTTAGACATGAAAAAGGCCTTTTGGGGCCCAGCTAGAGTATCTAACTCTTAGATAAGAGTTCAAACAGAAGAAGTTCTTATGGCCTTTGAGGTTGCAGAGGTGTGATTTCCTGCTGTCTCTACTTGGGTACTCTGTTGGCTTTGGCTGTTTGGTATATCTTTCAAGTTTATATGATTTAACTGTGGATGGAGGACCAATGCAAATGGGTTGATTCACCTGCAGATATACTTGGGCAGGTTTTCATTTGAACACCCATCCCAAGGCCATATGAAGAAAGCAGAGTAAAATTTTGGTTCAAATAATTGCCAACTTAAAATTTATTTTTAAGTATTTGTCCCACTTTATATGGGACATTTTACACTAACAAGACAGACATTTTTATTATATTTTCAGCTATAGGATATCAGTTTACTTTGGACTAGGACAATTTTTAACTTTATGTGATTTAAAGGAAATACTTTTAAGGCTGAGGATATAGTTCAGTGGTAGAACACTTGCCTAGTGTGTCTGAGGCCTTGGGTTCAATCCCTAGCACCACAAAAACAACAAACAAAAAAACAACCCACCACCAACACCACCATGGTAACCTCACTTCACTTACCTCTTAACTTGCATACTACAGCCTGGCATATTTCACTTGGTATTGGGGAAATGGTGGAAAAAGCTCGTACTTCCAAGGAGTTTTTCCATTCTGATAGGTAGTAATAGGCAATATTCAAATAAGCAAATAAATGAGATAATTTTAGATTGTAGTAAGTATAGTGAAGAAAACAAAATAGATAATAGTATTAGAGGGAGATTGGGAATTGAGGGTGGGGAAAGTCGAGCTATTTTAATAAAGAAGTAACAAAGGAAGGTCTCCTTAGGATGTGACAAAAGGTTTTGGGCCACTTAAGGAGTTATCTGGGAAATGTGGGGGAAGCAAATAATAAAGGTCAGACAGGAAAGGGTTGCAAAGGAGGATGGTGGACAGTGGAGTGGGGGATGACAGTCACTGGGTTGGTTATGTTGCTGGGTTACATCATGTGGGGCCTTGGAGTTGAGAGTGGTGTTTTTATGATTACAGGAGAAAGTCATGAGAGGAGTGGTGGGAACTAGTTTATGCATTTGAAAGCCACTCTGGCTGTGTATAGAGAAGATTGTGGGGGGCAGAGGAGTAAGCAGAGAAACCACATGGACTCTTCTGCCATGTCAAGGGGTGGAGTTGATTGGGTCCTAGACTAGAGTGGGTACCTCTGGAGGTTCTGAAGAGATGGATTTGGTATGGGCAGGAAGGGGGCTGGGATTTTTTTTTTTTTTTTTGCCTTTACCTAAATCCTATGGTTTCTGATGGTTATGGCAGCTTTGAATCTCATTATATGTGGCAAAGGAGGGCACATAGTGAAGTAATTTATAGCACACACTTCATACACTCAGATTTCGTATTAATACAATTAATGAGTTGCAATATTTATTCGATTTGTTTTAAATGTGACGTTTTGTTATTGCAGGAAATGTTTTCATATTTGTCCAGTCAACTAAAGAAGTTGTCAGAAGCCTACAGTGAAAGATTATTGCAGACACCTCACAATCCCATTTCATTAGGTAATTTTTTCCTTACAAAAAGAAAATCCCTACTTCTTATCCTTCCTTAGGAAGAAATCGGTCTTTACAGCAAAAGAACTCTTTTTGTCTACATGCTATTTTGAATTTATTGCAGTATTAATTCGTAAATTTAAAAAATTTAACCTTTAGAAATGCTTTAATTATTTCAAAAATAAAATCTATCCACTGAATCAGGATCAGTGAATCCTTTTTTTCACTATGATACTTATAGTGAATATACATAAAGTAATAATTTAAGTCTTGCTTCTAACCAAAATACCTTGGTCACTAGTAATAACTCTAAATAATTAACACTTTCTCCAGGATTGGGGGTGAAGCTCAGTGGTGAAACACTTGTCTAGTATAACAGAATCCTTGAGTTTGATCCCCAGTACCACAGACTTAAATAAATAAGTAAAACTCTCTCCACTTAGCAATATCAACATATCAGAAATTAAAGTTTTTCTTATTATTTTAAAAATGTTATTACTTAAGAGAAATCTGTATTTAGCTTACGTAGTGCGCGCGTGTGTGTGTTTGTATCTATCCATCCATCTATCTATTTTTTGTACCAGAGATTGAACCCAGAGGCACTTTACCACTAAGTCACATCCCTAGATCTTCTTTATTTAGAGACAGGGTCTCACTGTGTTGCTTGGGGTCTTGCTAAGTTACTGAGGCTGACTTTAAACTCGCAATCCTTCTCAGGCCTCAGCCCCCCGAGCTGCTAGGATTACAGGCTGTGCCACCATGCCCAGCTTAATCTGTATAAAGAGAAAATGGTAATATAGAATTATGCATTTAACTAACAAACTTCATAATTACCCCTTTAATTGGTGAATATATATGTATATTTATATAGCATAGTAGTATGGAAAGTGAATCATTTGCAACTGCAGCCTTTTTAAGAATAGGCTTCTATGGAAAACCTTTGTGGGCACCAACGTAATATTATCCCAATCCCTTGCTGGTAGGCAGAAGCTGGTTTGGGATATCAGAATATCAATTCTGCTGTGTGCTAGCCTCTCATCAGTTTTTCCCCTATCTCTAAAATAGAGATAATTATCCCTCACATGCAAAATTGTTAAAATTGGTCGAGGTTATGTTTGTAAAGTATCTAGTAAGTCAGCCTTCAGGCATGTCCACAGTTTACCCCCATACTCTCAGAAGGATCATTTCCATAAGAAGTTGATCTTACAGTCTTAAATATGTACTAAACAATCTCCCATATTCTCATTTTACAAGTTATTAAAACTTGGATGAGTTTGAATAAACAACCATTACTAATCTTGTCATTGCATCATCTATTGAGTTGGAAAAACTCACTTTTGGGGAAGGCAATGTGGAAATTCTGTTCCTGGTTGTGACCATATTAATTCACATAAAACTATGTTTGTATGATATTCAAACAAATCCCTTATTAAGTGCATTTTAAAGTGATGTGCCACTTGACAGACACTGAATAAGAAGTATCTTTTTTTTTGGTGCTAGTAAACCAGAGCTTACAGGGATATTTTTTTTCTTTTTCAGCTGTGACACTTAAGACACTAGATGAACACCAGGATAGAGCTGTCACTCAGCTTGGCTCAATGCTTTTTACCAGACAGGTTTCTGGAGCCAGGTAAGAGTAATTTTAAAAGATACTTAGGATATTTAATGGCTTTCCAAGTTAAGTCTAATAAAATACTTTTCTTCTACAGTAGCCCCCCCCTCCTAAATATATGCTAAACTATGCCTGAGAATTCATTGTGTACTCAAAGAATGATGAGATAGAGAATCTGTAAGAAGAGTAGTTGCACCTGAAGACTTTCTAGACTTGAAATAGTCCCAGAGAGATATGAATCTTGTTTAATAGTATATAGAAACAGTTTCATTCTTCTCTCTACAGTTTTTTGCCTATTTCCTTTGTTAGATGATTTTTCATTGATATCATATATGATATTAGAAATAAGTCATTACTAAGTTCAAGTGAAATTTTGCTAAAGAAATGGCTGTTTCCTAAACTAAAAAGGGTTATGGAATTCTTGCCTAAGTACTGCCTTGGAAACATGTACTTTTTTCCTCTAATATATACTTAGCATGAAAATGAATCTCATTTAGCATGATAAATTTGTTGAAGTCAGAGAAAAATGTCTTGAAAATAAGTATCTTGCTCTAAATGCTTTTCTTCACATACTTCTGTTAAAGAATTTCACTCTACCAGAGGGTAGAAATTTCACATCAAAGGACAGCTTTTTTGAAAGAAGAAAATCTTAGATTAATTTAGCTTATACTTTGATAAACTCTTATCTGTATGCAATACAGTTTTGACAAATGCTTTTTCCAAAATGTTTTTCTTGACCTGACTTTCAGTATTGCTGGTATTTGTCTTTATATTTAGGTTGATCTTAATTTATTGACTTCTTAAAAAAAAAAAAAGGTAAAAGATTAGAAATCTGCTTTTATCTTCGTATGCCTGTGAAGTCAAGCTTAGTAAATGCATGGGCCAGAGCTCAGTATTGCAGTTTGCTGATCTGCACCCCATTGTAAGTGGTTACATCATTTCTTCTGGCTCATTGCTGTAAAGCTTTGTATTGCATAGCACTGATCAGATAGTTAGAATTTTAGTTTGTTGATTTTTTGAGGGGACACACTACAGTTAAAGTGGTTTGACGTAAAGTGTCTATGTATGAATTCAGATTCCAGATTTGGCACAAAAACAATTTGCTTTCTTTTTCTACTTTGAAGATGTAAAAATGTTTGAGATTCCTAGAGCTTGTTGTTCTTTTATAGATGATAAATAAATAGTAATCATCAGGCAGGACTTTTTAATGTAAAATAGCAGTGTATTATATAATTTCATTTTAAGGCTGACAATCCATTTGCATAGGCCATGATTTATTGCTGTTTTTAAGCCTCTTAATAGATGAACGGCTTAGTAAGACAAATATCTTGTTCATGGGTGACATTCTGTTAACATCACCAGACATTAAATTGATAAATCTTTTCCCTTTCAGGGTTGTGCCTCTTGGGTCTGTGCAAACTGTGAGTGGCTACACTTTCAGTGGCTTTATGTCCCATACAGATAATTACCCTTGTGCTTACCTCAATGCTGCAGCAGCCATCGGAATGAAGATACAGGATGTGGACTTGTTCATAAAAAGACTTGACAGATGTTTAAAGACACTAAGGAAAGAAGGAAAGAAGGACAGCGATGTATCTGTAGTTGACAATTATGACAAAACTAAAGATGTGGATATTGAAGAAATGGCTTTAAAACTAGATAATGTACTTCTTGATACGTATCAGGATACTTCTTCATGATGTGTGAGATGTTTCTTTTTGATAATTTGAAAGAAATGGTATGGCTACAGTACATAAAGGCAGTTTAAAGAAAGGAACTGAAATTTTTGAATTGAGAATTTTATAGAGAATATTCAGTTGAGGACTAGACTGTGGTCTGAGTTAGCTCTTGATGGTTGCTGTTTTTTATTTTTAGACTGCCTCAATCTTTTTGATTCTTGACAGGTTAAAATATGCAATTAGCATTTTTCTAATTGTTAGAATATTTGTCAATTAAGCATCATGGTTCAGATAATTCATAGAAATATAATCACTGTAAAATCACCTCTAATTCTCTTTGAAACGTAGAGTGCTTCTTCCTAACCATTCTCCAGTATTCACAAATCACTTATATTTCTGATCATACAGAATCTCTAATGCTGCTGTTATTGAACCTTCCCTCAGGTGTCACAGCGTGCCTGTAAGAGACCTTATCAAAGGAGCAGAGGCAAGACGTAAACTTCCATTTAGATGCCAGAGCAGCGGTTCTCAACTGGGGATGATTTGCTTATATCTAAGCAATGTTTAGGGACATTTTTGGTTGTTGCAGCTGGTGGGATATTATTGACATTTGGTGGGAGAGGCCATGGGTGCTGCTCAGCATCCTGTAATGAATGCATCAATTCCTGGAACAGAATTAACCAGTCTAAGATGTCAGTGATGCTGAAGTTGAGACACAATACTCTGAAATCCATGAAATCCTCAAATGTAGAGGAGTTTTCCATAACAACCTTAGTTATGCAGTAGTTACAGTCATGTGCTGCATGACGACAGCAAGGGACTACATGTTAGATAGTAGTTCCATAAGATTATATTACCTAGTGACATCATATCCATTTGGGGTTTTTTTTTTTGGTGGTACTGAGGATTGAGCCCAGAGGCACTTTTCCACTGAGCTACATCCCCAGTCCTTTTCATTTTTAATTTTGAAACGGGTTCACTAAATTGTTGGAGATGGCCTTGAACTTGTGATCCTCCTGCCTCAGCCTCCTGAGTCACTGGGATTACAAGAGTATTCCACCAAGCCCACAGCCATCTTGGTTTGTGTAACTATTACTTTCATGTTCACTTAACAGCTCCACTAATGATCTCAGACCACATCTCCATCATTAAGCAACACATGACTGTCCTCCAAGAAGCTAGCTCTAGAAATTTTATCAACTATACTGCATAGAGAACCTTAAGTGATAACTAGGGTAACGAGTTCTAAACATGTCATTATAAATTGTTCTTTATGGAACTTGCACATTTTTCCATTTGGGCAAGTGAAAACTTTATTTCACTTGCTGTTTTTGCTTTAAACAAACTTGTATATTGATTAGTTTGCTCAGGTGTGTGCTCAGCCACCATCAAGATTGGCTAACCAAGGGTATTTTGTAACATATTTTTGCTAGGGAGGTAAAAGTTATGTTGTATGATAAATGGATGTATTACTCTTTTCTGTGCCCATATGCTCATATTCTGAGTCTAAAATTCCAGGTTTATTGACTTAACAATGATTTTTATTAATTTTAAGAAATTGACTAATGTCTCAAAGCCTAAGGAGTTGATGAAGCCTCTGAATACACTACCTTGCCAAGGCCATGTTTCCCAAAACCTGTTCTGTGAAGCATTTTTTCAATTGAGAGATGCTGGGGGGGTGGTGTGTATGGGGGGACGTGGAGGGGGGAAGGTCCTGTAGACAAATAATTTGGGAAACACTTTTGTAGACCTGCTCATGGCATATTGAAAGCTCTAGAAAACTCCTTTAGTAAAGATTAATTCAGTTTGACTATGTCCTAATCCAAAGAGAAACCTGTTTTTAAAGTAAGATACTACTTATTAACATCCCCTTCAGCATACATTCAAACTACAGTGGGAGACACTGTGTTGACTCACAGGTTGTAGTTTTCCTGATTTGGTGATGTCAACTGTTCGAGAAAGTTTCCTGGTATGTTGGTGATGTGTGCATTATCTTAGATCCTTTTAAACACGAACTTGGGCAGAGGCCACTCCCTTTAATGTCTAAGTCAGAATGCTTCAGACACTGGTTTGATAGCCTTAAAAGTCAAAACTGGGTTTAGATGAAATACTTAGCTCATATAAATATTATAAAGGTTATTTTAAAATCTATAATATTTGGGGGTTTCACGCATTTCAATTACAAGAACTCATTCCAAAGGAGTAAATACTGGGTTGCAAAGTTACATAATGTTTTCTGTGTGAATTTGGGACTAAATTGTAGAACCAACAAAGATGAACCAGGCACAAACCAACCCTTGGAGTCCGAGATGGGACCAGAGCGATGCTGCAGATGTAAGTGCTGGCAGTGCAGCATGCCCTGCGTGTGAGCCAAAACTGCTTTGTAGAGCGAGTGATCTATACCGTGTGGTCATCATTTAGATTAAGAAAGGCCAGAGTCAAGGGTCGAGCACATCTCTTCATCTGCAGTGCATCAGCAGTTCTTAGGCTTCAGCTGCTGAATAGATAATAACTAATTGAAGATAAATTACATGAACCCATGGGTGAGTGATAGATAGGCTAAAACATTTTGTTCCTGATGCACAAAATCAACTGCAATTTTTACTGTAACCGCCCCCTCCCTTGTCAAGTGTTTTTGAAATTCCAGGTCTGGTCCAGCTGACTTCACATGGACCCTGAGGTCACAGAACTCACCAAGTGTTTGAAGGGATGATGTTGCTTCTGTCTCTTCAGGCTTCCTTTGCCCCCACCCCAGGGTCATCTTCCTCCCTCTCCCATTTCTACCTACATAAAAGTCTTAAAAAGTGTATACATAACTTTCTATAAATTGCTAGCCTCATAATCTGTTACCTTGAACTGTGTCAGGGCCAATAGGGAAGAATTTTCTATCTCCTGTCTTTGTGGTCCCTTATTAACAAGGCCATCAGGTTAAAATTTGGGAGTTGGGGTTTTAAAGTCACTGAGCTGTATTGGAGGAGTCTGCCCAGAAAAGAAAATGGAATAACATGAACTCTTGTTTTGGTCACTTACAGAGCAGGGAGAGGGGCTTTAAATCATGCTCTTACTTTGGCTCTCGATCCTTTGCAGATGAGTCTTTCTATAAGGGGATGATATGTGATTCCAGCCTCAGGAACCCCATGTTCAACTATAAATCTTCCTATTTAGCTTTTTGTGTTAGTTGAATTAAGTTGCAGGATATGAATTATTGAATGCAATTCTGTTTAGCCAATAGGCACTTGATGAACAGAATGGTAAATATAAATTAAATTCTAATTTACATAATTCTGCAGTGGTTCTCTTTAACAACTCATAATAAGAACTGTCATTGAGACCCGAGCTTAGATGTGCTTTTATTTTTAGACTTTGCCTGTGGTTTCCATAGATTTTAGTGAAATTTAAATTAAACAAAGGTGTTTTTGTTGCCGCTGTTGTTTTACTGGTGATGTTGCTTTAATAATGAATTAGCTCATTCTGAGAGTTAAACTCTGTGTCCCTTCATAATCAACAATTGAAAACAATAGCAACAGCAATAAAAAAAAATCCACGAATCTCTTATACTCAAGAGAAGTTTTTGGAATACACACACATTTTACTGCACATAAAAATTGGATTTACTTTTCCCACTAACTTGTTCTAATTTCTGCCAAGCTCTCACGTGGTTTTGTTATGTTTTACATTCATGAGCCTGAGGTTATTTTTGCAATTTTAGAAAAATCCAGTTTTGAATTCATTAGAAATCATTTCAGACCTCCGAAAAGTTTGATGATAAGAATTGATTGAATATGTTGTTACAGGTTTTTTTTGTTGTTGTTATTGTTTGTTTGTTTGTTTTTTAAGAGTCCCTGCAGCAGTCTTCCCTTTGTCAGGTTGCTTTGTGACTCCTGTGGTCTAGTCTAGTCCAGGGTCTGACTTACCTACTTTGTCCTCTTGTGCCTTGCTTTTTACTTTCATTCTGTCCATTATGTACAGTGTAAGATGGTGAGTCGAGGGCTAATGAATGCCTTTGTCACTTTCCACCTCATATTCTACATTTCAAACTGAGGCCTTCAGCAGAACTTGGAAATGTTCTTCTGTTGTGTCAGGTGCTGTCAACATGGGCTTCTGGAGCAGTGTGAGGAAAGGTGATGTTCCACTGTACAACTGGGAGCAGTTTTAGCCATGAGAATGTGAAGCTGATGTCAGCCTGCTAACTGTATGTCTTATCAAAGGGAAGAAAATGTTTCCTGGGATATTTTTGGTGTAGACTGTTTAAATATAAAAATGAATTGTATAATTTATTACATGAAATTAATTTTTAATAAACACTAATAGTACCTCATATTATTCTACCTAGTCATTATTACAGATAAAACATAAAAGTACAAATAACTGACACTAAATTACTTGCCTGTTGTTTGATTTTGTCATCAGTATCAACTTGCCCAGAAATCAGCAAGAAAAGTTAGACCTCTACTGATATACGGCTGGGATCTGAATTATTTTGATGATGATTGGTAGTAGGGTTTGAACCCAGGGGTACTTAATCACTGAACTATGTTCCCATTTTTTATTTTTATCAGAGACAGGGTCTCGCTAATTTGCTTAGGGCCTCACCAAGTTGCTGAGGCTGGCCTTGAACTTGTGATCCTCCTGCCTCAGCCTCCTGAGTTGCCAAGATTACTGGCATTTGTCACACCCAGCTTGAATTATTTTTTTAAAAGGAAGGAGATGACATTTTGCAAAGGGCTGATTGACTATATAAAGTTGGACACTTAATAGTATCTAACCTTTCTAAAAGAAATATTTTTATTTGAAAATAAAATAAACTAATTAGTGTAACTTCTTCAGATTTCTTTTTTTTTAATATATAATTTTTTTAGTTTAGTAGGATACAGTACCTTTATTTATTTATTTTTACGTGACGCTGAGGATCGAACCCAGCGCCTTGCACATGTTAGGCGAGCGCTCTACTGCTGAGCCACCACCTCTTTTGCTTTTTGAATTATGGAGGTGGTGTCTTTGGGAGTCACATCTCTGTACTGGTACTTACCACGCGAGCTCACATATGACCCCTCTGAATCTCATTCCCATCAATGATATGTGAAGTGCACACAGCCTTATAGGATTGAGGGTTGAGTGAAATAACACTTGGAGTGATTAACTCAGTGTGGGAGTCAGTACTGTTGACTGCTGTGATACTCTGCTAAGCAGTGTTAGATCTAAGTAAAAATGTCTTCTTTATCATCTGTTTATTCCAGAGAACTTTTTTGAGGGAAGTCGTCGATGAATGTTGTCCATACTCCAGTGGAAATAAATTTCAAAAATTGATAGTTGACTTCAGATGACCTTTTT